GCCCCGGGAGGGCGGGGAGGCGCGCCGGGGTCCCCCAGGGCCTCCCCCAACCGAGTCTCCTCCGGGCCCCGAGAGCCAGCCGGCCAGCCGCTCTTCACCTGGAGTAGAAGGACGCCCCTCTTTGATGGCCTCTTTTAATGACCACCATCTACCCTGAGGTTAGGATTTCAGGGTGTGATTTATTAATTTATTTAGGGGACTTTGTGTTGGGAGAAACCCATTTCACCTGAAGCCTCCCAGGTGTCCAAAGAAAATGAAGCTGCAAACATCAGATTTGCAAATACTACTTGCCTGGATACCTCGTCAGTTTAGACTGTGAGATTTAAGAAACCCACATTAATACACAAAATTGCTATTAGGATGGCTGTTTTGAAAACTTTTCCAGCACCGTGTATGCATCAGTGGTGCTCTGTAATGAATATTATTCCCAAACTTGGAACATACATATGGGGGAAATATGAAAAAGATGGAATGGAATGCAAAGTGGGAGAGACCTTTGATAGGTTTTAAGTCGTCCTCCTTAAAAAGTGTTGAATTCTGATTACAGAAAAGCCAAAGTTTCAGGTACACATTGTTCTGACCTTACTGATCGCTGCTGTATCCAGAGATTTTGGGGGTAAGATATGGTTATCATCTGTGACCCTGACCTCAGAAGGTTAAGTATGTTTTCAGATATTTTGAATTATCCTTAATGCAAGCCCTCTCTGATTTAGGAAACTGTAACTTAGGAACCTCCCACTCAATGGCATGTTAGTTGTCTCCAGTGCTCTGCTACAGGCTTCAGTGGGTCCAGGATTCCAGGAGAGACCCAGTTGGTCCCAGTCCAGGGTGCTTGTTGGAATATTGTCCACATTATCTCAGCCACATCTGTTTAAATAGGCATGTGTAATACTTAGTCTTTGACAAGGAAAGGGATTCCAAATTTGGAACAGCCTCCTTACAAGGGAGACTTTTGAGTGAATATTCTCTAAATGGAATATATGTGTTGTAGATCTTTTATCCATATGTTTATCTAACCCGTGTATAATATCAGATTGTGTATCGTGTTGGAGAAATGTCCTGCAAGCATAATTTAAAAGGAGTATCTATCCTTGATTTGCTAAAACTCTCTATTCGAATGCAGAGCTAGATTCTCAAACAGGGAATCTGTAGACCTGGATTCTTGTTACAGTTTTGCTGTTAACAACAAGTATCTTGGCTTTGTTTTAGGCAAGTCACAGTGATCTTTGAATTTCAAGTTTCATAAATGATTATGAAACTTAGGGTTGGGGTTCCTCCAGCTTGAAAATTGTGTTGTAGTACTATATTCAAATAGGATAACTTTATAGTTTGCTGATCTAGGTTACATCTTTCCACTCCCAAAGATGAGTTTGCTTATTAATTTTTATTTTACAACTTGTAAAGATGTCTTTTTTTCCTGAGGTATAGTAACAAGAATTTCACAACGGATTTATTTTGTAGACTCATCACATAAAAATAGGAAGATGCTCTCTGTATTTAAAACTTCTTGAAGAATCTGTCTTAGAAAGAGTGAAAATTAAATTCTGGTGCTGCAGAAAGCATTTAAACCCTTCTGTTAAGTGTCTTAAAATTTAATAAAATTAAAGTGTGAAAGTATTTCGACTTAGCCACAAACCAGGAGTTCCTGCTTTTTAACAAAGTCTATACAGCTATTTGCTTGGTCCATAGAGAAATTAAAGATAAGTATTTTTTATGTGGTTTTAAATGTTTACTAGTTCTGAGGTGGCAATGCACAAATCACAACACATGAGACAAACCTATGAGGTCACCATTTCCCATGCAATAAATATTTTTGAATGAATAACGAGATGCTCTTCATTGCCCAGTTTTTTCTATAGTCACTATAAAATACCCTAGACAATGTCCTAAGCCATTATTCCCCTGAAAAAAACTCATAGGTTTTCTAATATAAAAATGTATATTTAAAATAAAATCAATGCTGTTTCCCATTTGAGAATTATAGAACATGAGCCCTGGGAAAGACTTTGAGACGATCTATTCTAATTCATTCATTTTATAAAGAACTTCAGGCTCAAAGTGATGAAGTAACTTCCTCAGTGTCATCTACCTGGTTAGTAGTTATATTGTCAACTTTTCATTGCTGGGACAAAATATCCAACAGACACATTTCCTTAAAGGAGGAAATGTTTATTTTGGCTCCTGATTTCAGAGGTTCCCATCCATGGGTGTCTGGCTCCAAGGTAAAACCGTCATGGTGGAAGGGCATGACAGAGCAAAGTTGCTTAGCTTAGGGCAGCAAGGGAGCAGAGAACAGGGGAAGAGCCAGAAAATGAGTCCTCAAAATCACACCCCCGTGACCCCCCCAGTCACACTCAGAAATGTGCTTTATTAATCTAGGTGTGTCTCAAGAAAATCAAGTTGACAATCAAAACTAATCATCCCAGTAATTTCAACATCTGATCTTGTGCTGGGGGTCAGTCCTCAGCCCTGCAAAACAAAGCACCCCGAACACTGATCTGGGATTCCCAGTCCACTGATAGGGAATGACTATGACTTAGTTATCTTTGGTCTGGAGTGTCTTTCTCAGTAGATGTGGAATTGAACTGAATTGAATGAAATTGAAGTGAGACACTAACTTGCAAAGGAATTTTATAGTTTAAGAAATGAAGGTACCATGTGTACAAAGCCTTTGTGCCTTTGCTCCTTTCTCTTGCTTCTTTAGATTAATGTAGGGGTGTAATAAAGAAGTTGGTTTGGGGAAGGGACGGGTGGGAAGTAACTTCAGCCAATTGTTTGTTTCTCCAAGAATTTGAATTTCAGGATGTATCTGGATGTCTGGAAATAGGATCCATCAGACAGAGTAAAAGTTTTAAATATAAAGATTGCAAGTATTTTAAACAAGACTATGTTTAAACTTAAAATGCTGACTACATACAAGGTTTCATGATTATTTTTAATCCAGGAACCTATTCTCCCTGACATAAATTTGGGTGTGGAGGCTGCAGGGGAGAAGGAATGATTCTCAGGGAACTGAAGCAATTCTGTCGAACACATCTTCTCTTCACTTTCTACTGTGCATAGTGTTATGGAGATCATATCCATCTCTATTTCCTTTTTACAAACTGCAAATTCTTCATTCATTCAGCAGATATGTATTAATTATTCTCAACCTGAGAAATAAAGTGGTGAATTAATCAAAACACACATAATAGTAGTCATAGCAAAATCTATATGGTACTCTGTATCTGTCGTAGGTCTAGCTTCTTTTTACATATTAACTCTTAAACACCAGTGAGGGTCACTGGGTACATAGTACTAGATGGGAGTTAGACCCAGCACTCAGTGACTCTGGTCTAACACTCTCTGTCTCATCTGTTCTATTCTGTCTACTGCACCAGCGTGTACTGACCATGTTACTCTTTGGCTCTTGGCCTTGAATTAAAACCTGTCTAGTTGAGATGCCCATTCTTTCCCATATGGAGAATTTTTATTCATCCTTCAAATCTAGCACAAGTCACTTATTTCTATAAAGTCTTTCTTGAATTCTGTCCCTAATTAGTCACTCTCTTCCAACTGCTGACAGCATTGTCTATACCTTTGAAAATAGCACTTGTCACTTTTTTTTGGTAATTTATCTATTTACAAGGTTTATATACTTTCTTTCCTTGAATAACGGGATTCCTCAAAGATATGCTCCATAACTGCTATATAGACCTTCATTTAATGTTCATTGATTGACTGAGTGAAGTGCCCTAACAGCTAATTTGAAGTCTTTTATTGTGTTTAGCCTCTGTGTTTGGGAGATCTTGATTGAATATATAAATATTTTTGTGATGAGTCATTAAATGAGGAAAGATTTAGGAGAGAAGATTAAATTATTTGACTACTCCAAGTCTGAATTTTAACTGGTTCCAGAAAGTAGTCACAACTCAGGGACAGATAAAACAAATGAATCTGAGCTGGGAAATGAGATTGTGTTGTGGTTTGTCTTTTAGGAGCAGAATGATTCAGCATTCTTTCTCTTACTTTCAGAGTGAAAAGCTTGGTGACAATATGGCAATTTTCTATCATTATTCTTATAATTATTACTATTTCGGTGTGGAGGATCAAACCTAGAGCCTTAGTTTGCTGGACAAGTACTCTACCCCTGAGCTACATCCCCAGCTGCATATGGAAATTTCTAGGTCAGACTCTTTAAGTCAATGTTCTAGTATCCTTTTGCTTGGTTTCCTTGTAGCAATTAGGTAACATTTAAGAGAGTTGTTCACCACTCTGCCCTCTTCCTGGAAGTCTCAAGATTTAAGAGAACTGGAGAGAGGAATCCATATGAGAAGATATCTTACATCTGCCTGCCAGAAGACAGTGGAAGGCCTTGGAGGCAGAAGATGGACTCCCTCTTGTGCAGGAAGACACTAGCAAGAAAGGGTACCATGCTGTGTTAATCAGCTTTCCGTTGTTGTGACAAAATACCGGAGAAAATCGACATAAAGGAAGAAATATTTTATTTGGTGGAGGAAAGATGTGAATCTCACGGTGGCCAGGGAGCAGAGAACAAGAGAAAGATAAATCCTCCGTGTTCCCAGTGACGTCTTCCAACTAGGACCTGTCTCCGAAAGTTCCCACCACCTCCCAGTAGTTCCACCAGCTGGGAACCAAGCCTTCAGCACATGAGCCTTGGGAGCATCGTAGATCCAATCTGTAACACATAATAACGTTTGTGCACAGAGGTAGCCTGTGCCGGTGAACCTATGGCACACGTGCCATAGCAGGGTATTTGTTATGATTGAAAGCTCTAAAAGGTTCGCCATCGCTGAGCCAGGCCTTTAGCCTCTCACTTGGTAATCCTGGTGTTGCTGCTGTGCAATATCAGTAGGGACAGAGGCTGGAAAATGTGCAGAAGCATCTGCTGTATGATAATCCGTGAGTGCTGCAGGGATACAGTTTAACTCACAGGTCCAAATTTATATCTGTAGGCTGACCGCAAGGACTGAAGAGGATTGCATATTTAGTTTATGTGTTTATCAGTTTTAGGGCTACCTCATGAACTGCGTTGGGTAGAGTCCTGGAACCAGTACATTTGAATCTTTCCTAGACATTCAAGCTGAACTCACAGATTCCCAAATCACCTATTGCTACTATAATAACACTCCACCAGGTTTGTTTGCTTTGCCTTCTGGGAAGGGGTACAACCAAAAGTCAGAGGTGTCCCTGTCATCCTCATGTGGCCGTGGGTCCTTCTCACTTCCCTTCCTAAATGGAGTCTGCTGACGTACAGGTGCATTCTCGCTACCTTCAGCCACTGCAGCCACTTCCCTAGGCACCTTGCCCACTACTCTGAAAACTCATCTCATCCAGGGTTTATATTATTTTCACACAAACCTACAACATGGTCTGAAATTATTGGTCTACTTCTGTTTGACCTTTCACTATTAAAAAGTAATGTAAAACTTCACTGTGCAAAAAAGATAAATTTATATTCGTCTTGAGGAATGAACAGCAATGATGATTCTTTATTCCTTTAACTCTATTCGTAGATGCTTTAATATGTGTCTATTCTTCACAAAAATCCATTCATTCCATCCATTTCTTTCATTTAATAAATGCTGAGCATCTGCTCAGTGCAGGGCACTAAGATAAGCACTAGAGATACAGTGGAGAGTGAGAATGGATATGGTCTCACCCTCATTATGACAGTTTCATTCATTCCTTCATTCATTCTGTCAGAAAGTATCTGTTGACTCTCTGTTGTGTGGAAGGTACATTCTAAAGCCAGAATAAAAAAGCCAGACATCTCTCAAGGAGATAACATTCTAGACGAGTAAGATAGAATATAAATAAGGCGGGTAAGATACATAGTGTTTTTTGTTTTTTGTTTTAAACTACGGAGGAAAAGCAGGAAAGTAGGATAGGACGTTTCTGCAGCAGGGGAGGGTTTGTAACATTAGGTTGGCTGGGGTGGGCTGGTCTTCAGTAGAGGTGTATTCTGTAGGGATTTAAGGGAGGAGGGCAAGCAAGCCATTCAGACATCAGAGAGTAGAGTGGGCTGGGTGTAAGGAAATAGCGAGCAGGCCAGTGGGGCAATGCAGAGTGAATGAAGGGGTGAATATTAGGGGGCCAGAGAGGTAGGTATCTGCTCACCTTCCAGGTGGGTGGGAGGTGAGCAGATATACAGAGCCTCGAGGGTCATCAAAAGCCTTTGGCTTTTACTCTGTACGAGCCGGGGGCTCCACTGAAGGGTTTTCAGCAGAGAAGTGATAGGGTCTGCATTATGGCACACAGGGCCATTTTGGCAGCTGTGTGGAGAATAGATCACTGGAACAAGGGCAGAGCAGGGAGGTCACTGAGGAGGTTCCTGTGGTAATTCAGGTGAGATGATTACTAGACTAAAATGATTTGGGGGGAGGTGAAGAATGACTCGATTTTGAACATTTTTTAAACATTTGACAACATTTTAACGTTACCAGGATTTGCCTCCCAGATAAGATATTGGATGTTCAGTTTTGGGCTAGGAAGCTGGAAGAATAAAACATGCCAGAGTAGATCTGGGCAGATGTGAGTGTCAGAACTCAGGCTGAGATGCTCAGAAAACATCCAAGTGGAAACATGAAGCAGTTTTAATAGAGATTTGGGGCTTGAGGGAAAGGTTTGGCTTAAAGATAACAAAGTAGGAGTCTCTCTGTACACCTTTAAAAGAGGGGTGTATCTATGACTAGAAAAAAAAGGGACCAGAGATGGAACTCTGGGGCATTCTGGAGTTGAGTGGTTGGGGGAAGACAGGCAAACAGTGGAGATAGCTGAGAGAAAGGAGAGCGTGATGTCCTGGAAACCAAGTGAAAAACGTAGTTCAGGAAGGAAGATGTACTCAGATAATGCAGGTGTGGCTGACAGATCAATAAACCTGAGGAGTGAGAACTGATTAGCAATGTGGATTTAGCATTAGTGACTGTACTAAGGACAATTTTAGTGAAGTGATAAGAAAATAGTGAATAGATATGTTGATGGATCGGTTGTAAGGATGGTACTGTGACAGTTCAGCCAGAAGGGAACCTGCATGTCTCAAGTACAGTAGGTGGATAGATGTCATAATGGGAACTTACTGATAAATTCTCTGATTGCTTAATTTTTTTTGCATTAAATTGGAAGAGTGGGCATGAGAGAAGTAGAGAAGGTTTGAGACAAGAGAAAGTATGAAGTATAGTTGAGGTTGAATGAATAGGTCAGGAAAATATAATGATTGCCGGGAGCCTTTAAGGGTGCCCTTGAGACAAGCAGGCTTGTGCACTTTTCTCCAGGTGTGTCCCACTGCAAAGGGGTGCACAGGAAGGAAATGGAGCATTGGATCCTTCTGACTAGAGTAGTGGTTTAGTCAAGCGAGCAATGGGTTCAAGGATTTGAGGGCAAGTGCAAGATAGTGATTATGGTGCTGGACAATGGAGTTTAAATAAGATAAGAAGGAAGGAAGGGTTTGAAGCAGGTGGGGCACCATGAAAAGATGGGGGAACCCATGCCTGGTAGTTCCCAGTAGGTCAAAGGAAGGTGCGAGTTGGGATACTAGAGGAATATGAAGAAAAGATAGGCTATGGTGGTGGGAAATTGCAATTAGGACAGTTGTACACTCTGCAGTGTATCTGGCAGTGTTGTCTTTCTTCTTAAATCCAGGAACCTTGTTTTATGCACAGTGCCTGTTCCCCATCTGTCGTGATCCTCTTGCGTTCCTTTGGCCCTTAGCACTTGACTCCCCTAGGGCCACTGCAGATCTATGTGGTGGCTTTCTCTGGTCACAGGAACCCACTGTGCCCATACATGCATGGCACATCAGAAGGGCCAGCAAATTAAAGCCACACCCCTGTGTGGATTTCAGTCAGATGCTGAGCTTATTTATGAAATTACTAACTTGCCAACTCCCTGGCACCCCAGGTGAGGTCAGTGAAGGGTATGTATGTACTAACCCTCAGCAGGAGACAGCCCCAGAGGTGGTTACTCATTTCATAACATGTCCTTCATTCGCCACATTCCACTGTTTCCTGGAATTGTCACCCAAATAGGCTACTTGCACTTATATGGTGGTCTGAGGGCATACTTCTGGGGAAACCCAAACTGGCACTGGGAATGACCCAAAGTATGTGTTAACTAAATATTTGCCGAGTTAATACATAAAACAGTAAATGTGAGTGAATGAGTGATTGAAGTCATGTCTGTCTACCTCCATGAGAAAGCTCTAAACTACTGGGGAGTGGGCAGAGAGGCGTATTTCATCTTTGTGTTCCTATTTAATAGTGTGTCTGACTTACACCAACAGCTCAACGAGGTTGAATTGAATTAAATGACTTCATGGTAGCAGTTGGTGGAAAGAGAAAGCAGCTGCAGAAAAAGCTGGATTGTAGTGAGGTGGAAGTGAGACTTCTTTGCGCATCTTCCAGAAGAACTTTGGAGTAAAAGGAGCAGGGCAATAGCCTCTATCCAAGAATAAAAATAATTTCCTTATGGATTTCAGGTTTGAGTGCTGCCCAGGAAATGTGGAGAGACCCTGTCTCAAAATAAAAACTATAAAGGGCGGGGGATGTAGCTCAGTTGCAGAGCCCCTGAGTTCAGTCCTCAATATTGAAAACCACCAACACCACCACCAAAATAAAACAAAACTTCTTATGATCAGTGCTGGGGAGAGAGTAAAAGAAATGAGGGAAAAGCTGAAGATTGATATTAGCCCAGCTGTGTTTGGATCACAAAACTTCCTCATAGTACAGAAAGATATTCCAAGATGTTGCCTGGACCATTCCCTTTATTTGTGTAACTTTTCTAACCCCTTTCAGAGCCTCACTTCCAGCCATGAATTATAATTCTTAAATGGTCCTAAAAGGTGCCATAGCAAAGTCTTTGCTCTCTTGCTGCAGTGCCCTGCTGCTGCTTTATTTCTTCTGCCTGGGAAATTTGGAGAAACCCTGTCTCAAACTAAAAAAATGTGAAGGGCATGCTTTACACGCAAAGGCATTTTTTCCTCGGATACAGGAAGCCGTTTACTGATGCCAAAGTTGCTGTACGTGCACACACAAATGCATTATATGTTTGCACAGATTGGAAGCATGGGGACCCATTATACAAGTTTTATGTAAATACTTTTTGCTTTCAGATCACTTCCAATGATCATATAAGATGCCTTAAATGAGATAATACATGTGAAATTTTT